GGTGTTCCCTGCCCGGGGAGGCTGGCAGGACATCCGTGACAGGCAAGGGCCCTCCGGGAACACGTTAAGTGGCACTAAGAGCGGTGCCGGTGACGCCTTGTAGGTGGCAGGGGTGGCGTGTGGCTCCGCCGGCCCTTCCCCGCGGGCAGTGGCACGGGGCTGGGGCGTTCTTAGGCCCGGGAGGACGCGTGGGCAAGATGCACCGCATAGATGACAGCGTGGCTGCATAATAAAGGTTTGAACCATCAAACAGGCTTTTATTTCTGTAGCAAAGTATCTCAAATCCCAGGCTTACCAAATCCACAGTGTGGAGTGAAGAGCACACAGCAAGCAACCGAGGGCTCGGTACCTGGCAGGCTAGCGGCACCACGGAGGGAGGTGAAGGCTCTCCACCAGCGACACCATCCATCTCCCCAGTGGCCAGAGATGAGAGAAAAACACATTTCCAATCCAGCATCCCCATGGAGAACACTGATATGGGCAAAAAAACCCACTGTTGTCAGTTTTTATCAAAAGTTCATCAAATAATCCTTCCAATGGCAACCAATGAGCTGAAGGGTTCTGCGCAGCTCCAGCGAACCTCCGAGCCCTGTAACCGCATCCTGTTTGTGTTCACAGCCGGATCAAAGCATGAATGGGCGATCGCCTAACAGCCAGCTTGAACAAAAGGGCGACTTCCCTTCAGGTCTGAACCGTCAGAAACGGAGCGAACAAGGTGGGAACAGGACACTGCTTGGGACAAAGACTTGGTGCACACGTTCCAGCAAGTACCTCTGCAGGGAGTTCAGCCGAACAACCGAACTGCCTGTGTGTGCACAAACCCACGGGTCATCTTGTAACAGTAAGACTTTTTAAAAAAATGCACATCAAGTCGGAGTCTCTTCTGTCGGTCCTGCTTCTCTTCCCATTGCCGGCTTTGGAGCGGGACGTGGGACCTGACGCTTGCCCCTCTGTTTTGGGCTTATGGCTCCTGGTGCCTTGTGCTCTCTGGACCCTTCCGAGTTGGCAGTCCTGCTACCGAGTCAAGTAAGAAAAATGCCAAGAGCATTTTTAATGAGGGTTGGAAGTCGTAAGACTTTCCAAGAAGGCATCAGGTTTTGTTCCTTTACAGGAAAGCCTGGTTTCCCGTGTGTAACTGACGTTTTGAGAGAACTGTACTATGATTTTCTGTTGCCGCCTGTCTTCTGCTCACCTAGTACTGCAGCAGGGTGTTTCTCCAGTGTTTTTGTCAATCCCACACCTCCCGTGCGTCTCTTGGCAGAGAGGGTTGAAAAGCTTAAACAGGAGACTTCCGAGGTAAGGAAAAGGCTCAACTCCAAGCAGGTTTCAGCTCAGCTCCAAAACTCCCCCTGGTGTCAGACTGTTCCTTTGCTAAAGCCCCCTTCTGCCAGCTGGTCCCTGTGGCCGGCAGAGCTACCCACAGGATTAATTAATTCACTTGCTGCTTTTGAGCAGGCAAGCTTTGGAAACGCCGCGCTGCTGATGATGACGGTCCGTGCCCTCTCCTCCCAAACCACCTGCTCCTTCCTCCTGCCCACCTAGCTGCTGCTCGGGGTGGAGGGGAGCGTCGCTGGTCGTGCTCACCCCGGCCGCTCGGGAGCCCAGGGCCTGCTGCCTCTTGGCGATAGCTGTGGTCTGTGCTCGGGCTGACTTTGCTGCCAGCCTTTGCAGCACGTCAAGATCTCTTTTGTGGTGGCTTTAGCACAGGGTGTGTTTTGAATCCATTTCTCTTTCCTCCTCCTCATTTGGTATGGAGAAAATAAATCACAGAGTCATAAAACCAGGTTTCTGTTTGCCTTTTTTTAAAAAAAAAACTACCTTTATTCATTTCGTGGCTTCTTGCTTTTTTCCCCTCTTTTCTGTCACCTTTTGGGTTGCTGGACACCCCTCGCTTGCAGAAGAACAGATGCCAACCCTGTGCCGGCTCATTGCTCTGCCACCCCCAGCGCCAGGGAGCCTGCGGTCCTTCCTTACCACACCAGTCTCCACCAGCACGGGGACCTGGAAATGATCCAATACCAGTCCCACGTAGTCCTGGCCCTTAAGACTCCCCACAGGCCTGGGGCAGAGGCAAAAGTGCTTTTCTTCCAACATTTTCTGCTTTACTCTCTTGCTGCCCAGCCAACACCTGCCCTCGGTCAGGCAGTCTGAGCCCACTTACTAGAAGTGACTCGTCTAGTTCCTCTTTTGCCCCTCGCTCCAGCTGGGCCCATCTCTCAACAGGGCAAACATCATGTCTGGACCTGTGTGCGGTCATACTGGTGACTGCTGGGGGCACAGGAGGCTTCCCTCTCCTGGGGCATCTCTCCAGAAACAACGTTCTCCTGTTTCTGGGGCAGTTTTCCAAGTACCTTCGAGTCACAGCCTCTAAGAACTTCACTTCTCAGAGGTCTGCACATCAGCCAAGAGTAAAGTAATTTTTTTCCAGTATTCTCAGGAAAAGTGTTAGATTTTGTCCCCAAACTGGAAAATTATTTTTGGCTCACGGTAGCAACAGAAACAGTCTGGATTGCTACTTTTTCCTCGTCAAGCTTTGAAAAGCCCTCTCAGAGTAGTAAAGCATCGTAAAACTGAATCCAGAGAATAAACCATTTTGGAAACAAAAAAAAAGAAAGGAAATAGTTTTGTTGTGGTTTTAGTGCCAGGGATACCTCTGATCTGCCGTTTCTTACCAGATGGACGTGAACCAGATCGGGAGTGGAAGTAGAAAAGTCATTTTCGTTGTTGTCATTCACAAGGTCAGTCCCCTCGGAATTGCTGAAAGGCTAATCTCGGTTGCAGCTTCTGACGTTTGGCCTGGAGCTGTAAACGGAGAGATGTTCACTTGGCATGGGCTGCAGGGAATTGGAGGCGGGGCCTTGTCTTATCCAGAAGGTATTTTCCTCAAGATTCACAGTTAGATCTTTGATGTGGCAGTAGATTAAATGCTTTCCACTGGAGCTCGGACACGTCTGACGATGCCGTGAGAGGCAAGAGCGTTACCCTAAGCTCATAGGCAGCAGAGCCAGGGAAGCCCTGGGCCTGTTGAGCTCAAGGTCAGGATTTCTCCTCCCAGCTTTCCGCCCTCTCGCACTGGGGTTTCCATGTCCTTTGCATTGTCTTCCCCTTCGCTTTCTCTCTGTGCTTGAGGTCTGTTGTTTAGATTTCCCCTTCCCGGTCCTGCCTGCAGTACTTTCTTACTGCCTGTCTTGATTCCTACTTTCTCTTGTCAGGACTTCGTTATCCCACCCACGGCCTTTCTCCCTCCTTATCCCACCCACGGCCTTTCTCCCTTGCTTCTCTTCCACCTCACGTGCGGGCACAAAAGGATTTCAGTCTTTCAGTCTCTTCCCGCCCCTGCCCAAACATGGACACGGTGGGATTGACCCATACGCACTTTTCTGTATCCCACAGCCGGTCCTCTTCTCTGAAAGGATGAGTTCTGGTCACCAGCAGCAAAGAAGATGCTTTGGGCTGCATCTGCTCTGAAAACCCGCGCCCGTAGCAGCCCCTGCTGCAGCGCAAGCGTTGCCGGTTGGCAGATGCTGCCTCCCCGTGCCGGGTGCTGCCGGCCCCTCGCGCAGCACCCCACTGAAGCATTTTAGGTGTTCCACCTGCAGCTTTCTGCCGCCTTTCTCGCAGGGAGAGAGCTGGTCCAGCTGACCCGGGGCACTGTGGGGTACTGTGGTCTCTTGTCCCAGGGACACCACTGTGCTCTTAGCTTCTGTTGCAGAGCGAAACGCTGAGGCGTCTGCTGTCTGTGCGTGCCAACATCACCCCGTGCCCACGTCACCCGTACAAAAGAGCAGAGTGTCACTGGAGGAGTTAGCTGAGTCCTGCCTTAGCCTCAGATGCCTCTGTGTGCCTTTCCTTCACCATCTTCCTCTGAGCAGCTCTGCTCAACAGGCTCAGGTCGCAGTGCTGTATTAGGGAAAAAAACCTAGACATGCTTCGGCAAAGGCACAAAAATTTACAGGAGTACAAACTTCCCAGCCTAGCTGGCTGAATCTGATTTTTCTAGGCTGCGGTAACCGGTGAAGCCTTTGTTAGAAGGTGAAAAAAGATAACTCTAAAGGTGATGAGACGCAACTGGAGAAGGAAAAAACCCCACACTTTACCGATGTTGGGCACACACTAGTGGGCAAGCTTCAAACAAAAACTCCCAGAAAAAATGGACCTGGAGCAGTGGAGAAAGGGAAGTGAAGGGTTAGGGAGAAGAAAGCTCTGTCTCTGCCCCTCAGCAAACAGCAGAGGACCTGCGTCCCTTTCTGCAGCCACGAACGGAGGAGAATCACTTGCCTCCACAGCTGCTGAGCCCTGTGTGTCTTTAAAACACAGGCACAGAGGCCACTTCTTCCCCTTGCTCCTTGGTGTTCCCTCCAGGAGCCGCTGAAGCCCTGTGTGCTGACCTGCGGGCCGAAGAGCTGGCGTAGCAAAGGCTGCTCTCAGCCGCGGGCGGCACAGCAGGACCGGCTGTGTAGGCTCTGCCCAGCGGTACCGCCCGAGCGTACAGTTTCACCCCAGTTGTGCCCTGCGGCGTCATTTACCACCGGGAGAGTGAGCCGAGGTCCAGTCTGGTTCATAGTTATCCACGGAAGCAGGAATCATGGCGGTTCCAGCGCAGAACCTCGCAGATCCCGGGGTGGGTTGGCCAGGCTAGCAGCTAAAAGCCTTTCAGTCTCGGGGGGGCTTCTTTGGCACCTCGATTCAAAGCGTTTCTAAAAAAAATCTTCTGGACTGAACTTATATATATAAGTTGTCGTGTATGTCACGTGGAGACTCCCACCACATAAAACATGCCTTTTCCCTCTCCTGCTGCAAGTCCTAGGCTTGGCTGTACTCAGATGCCGGGGCAACCTGTAAGTCAGCGGTAGCATCGCTCCTCCATTGTCCTCTCCACCAAGAGACCGGACAGATCAGTATCCACAGCAACAGTTATCAAGGAGCTAATTTCGTGGGTTTTCAGCCCAGGTGAAGAGCTCTAGAAATGCTTTTTTTAGCCTTGGCCCCATCCTGTGGAGTATGAGTCCATGACTGTGTGTCAGTGGAACACAGGAGATCACAACCAGGAAGAAAATATGTGGAATCATTTGAAATACGCAGATGAGTCTTAGGATAAAATGACTGGACTCCTTCCAAGATTGTTCTCCAAGTCAAAACTGAAAGTAGAAGCTTGGGAACAGTCACGGAGCCCTGAGTTTGTGCTGGTGTATGGCAGGAAGGTGAAACCGGCTGCCCGAGCCACACAGATGTGCCCTCCATCACCCACTGAGGCAACACAGCAGCGAGGTCTCTGCTAATCTGTCCTGTGGCACCAGCTGTCCCAGGCTTGAACACGACCGAAACATTGCTGAGTGTCAGAACAGAGAAGGTGGCTAGGATTTCTCGTAACACATTGTTATAAACTCTTCCAGTCTAGCATCCTGCCACAAAACAGCCTGGGATCTTAAACTTCAAAAAAAGGCCAAGGACAAACTGAAACAACCACAAAGCAAAATCCACAAGTTACCACCACGACCTTGTCCACGGGAAAATTTCCGGCAGGCAATGATAACTGTAAATCTCGGCGGCACTTTGTTGTCCCGGCAGAGGCACGGTGCCCATCTCTAGCTCTCTTAGGACTCTGGATATCCTGGACCTGTTGCAACAAGCTTCACCTGGCAGGGCAGAACTCTTCTCCTTGTGTGGTTTTACACGTCGCAGTCTCTGGCGTTGGAGGCGGAAGATACAAATTCACAAACGGCTTTAAACAATCTCGGTACCAACTGTTGCTGAGAGCAGCAGTCCTGCCCCACCCTGCAAGCTGCTCTCTGACATGCGTTGTGCTTACGTTGGATCACCCGATCCAAAAGTTATGTCTGCCTTCACCCAGCGCTACTTGGCATCTAGGGCTGTGAGCAGCTTCTCACTGCACCAGAGAGACTGGTCCAGTTCACACAGCCCAGTGCCACACAGAACGTTGCAGAGAACTTCAGTTTTGCTAGGGTGGGCAACAAAGCGAGCCCCGGCAGCGCGCAGGACCTCTGAAGGTACGCTGGTGGTGCAACTGCAGCGCTAAAAACACCGACTGCAGCACTCCCCAGCCAAGGAACCAAAGCTACTTTTAACACCAGCCTGGCAGCTGAACCCTGTCCCCGCAGGCGTCCCCGGTGTAAAGCTGTCCCTGGGCAGCGTGCCTTTCGGCTGAAGCCAACAGCTCTGCCGGCTTTTGCAGGGCAGCAGCACATGATGCGAAACCAAAGGGGAGTAAGCGAGCGCTGCTGCCGTGCCCATCCTGCAGCAGGAGCAGCCCTTGACCCAGGAGGTACCAGGGAACACATCACGTTCCTGGTCTGGCTTGACCGGGGACATGTCACACGCACCCAGCACCGGCTCCTAACTGCCTTCAGCCTTGCCCAGGGCCAGCTCCCAGGTTAATCCACCTTATACTGAAGGCACCACGTACAGAGGAGCCAGTGGGCCTCCAGAGGTCAGGAGAGACTTCAAGAAAATTCACAGCATCTGGCTACCTGCAAGGGACCCTACCTCCTGTCACTGCGGGGAGTTTTACGTTCTTTTTCCAGGTTATCGCAAATTCTCAGGAGTTTCCCCGAGACCCTTCTCTGTCTAAACCAAGTCCCGGCTACAGCTGTCCACCATGCCCATGGCCATTGGGATCTCAGGAGAGGCTGATCCCTTCCCCAGCCCCAACCAGTACGCCAAGACCCCTCTAGAAACCAGCCTGTGTTGGGTTACGGGCCAGCTCAGCTCCTTTGGATGCTTCCAAGGGTGGAAGTTGTCTTTCTCTGCCTTTGCAAGCCCCTCTACCAGCTCAGCAGACAGCTTAGTTCTTGCTGTGTTTGGACAGTGATTAAACCGTGGGCGGTTTGAACAGCGAGTCTGGACCACAAGCTCCTACATCTCTTCCCAGGTGGACACTACTGGAGCAGCTGCTCAGAGGGATGCCGGAGGGTCCTTCAGGTGCCCGGAAAGGTGAGGCAGAGCGGGCTGCAGGGGCCAAGAACCAGCACCCAGCTAACACCCAGCCATGGAGCTACCCTGGCCCTGGCCCGCCTCCACTCACAGCAGCACAGCAGCAGTATGGAAACCAGCAAGCCCAGGCTGGGGTGGGAAGTTAGTCCTAATTAGTTTGGTGCTGACGAGTCAGTCGGCCAACAGATGACCGTGGGCACCTCCAGTAACATAATGAGGTGGTTTTGCTGTGATTTGCCTGCATCAGGAGCATCCCAAGGTTGCATTGCCAGGACACTGCCCTAGGACAGGCGTGGCCCAAGACACAGGGGAAGGTGAGGCTGCCCTGTGTGTCCAACAAGCACCAGCTGATGCACGTGCTGCTCCGTGGTTAGTAAAAAGCCGTGGCACACGGCACACGGCACGTCGGTGTTTTAAAAACCTCTGCGGTGAGAAACTACTCATCTCAGCGAGGTCTGCAGTGTAGGTGCCTTTTACAGACTGCTTTACGGAGAGGTGATTTCTTTGCCCAGCGAAATCTCAAACAGAGGTGTCCGCACTAGCCTGCTTGGAAGTGCCGTGGCACTGGTCTGTGGAGGTCACTCGCCTGGTTTCTTTACGCATCTCAAATCTTTTGGCATCATGCGTGACTCTTTGTTCCCTCCACTTGAGGGAATACCAGCAAGCAAGGAAAGAGGAAACTTCAATCAAGGCACGATCTGGAAATGCAAATTGTTGGCTAGAGCAGAAGGTCAGGGAGGACAAAGCGAGCAGTTTCGGCGCTGCCCCTTCTTGTTGGCTTTGCAGAGGCACTGGGCCCTCCATACCCAGGTAACCTCCTGGATGTCCAGCCTCTGCCGGAAACGTTCAGATCTCATTCCTGGAGTTTAGGCTCGGCTCTTGGACTGGGCACCACAGCTCTGCTCCGAGCACAGTCCCATCCGCAGCACGGCAGGGAGCTTGGAAAGGCTGGGGGGGCGGCTGGGAGGGTTGTTCGAGAGCAAAGCAGTGTGAAAGTGATGTGACGTGGAGCATGGGAGCTCCCGTTTTGCCCAAGTCTGCAGCTGACCTGAAAGCTGCAGCTGCAGTTCTTCTTTGCTCGGATCCTCACCTCCCTCCAGCCCTGTCGTCTGCTTCTGCAGGCTCTGGCAGACGAAGTGGCCCTTCCGTGCTGCTTTTTGTGATTAGCGCCCGGGCAACAGCTATGCACAGGGCAGGCCCGGGGCTCTGGGGTAAAGGCTCCTCAGAGCAGGAGTGGAAGAGGCAGAACCACCATGGGTGTTAGCCTGCCGAAGGTAGAACTGAAAGCAGGAGGCCGGGCTCCATGGGCAGGAGAGGCACCCAGCTGCTCAGGGACCCGCGCGGAGAGGGCTGGGGAGCTGGGTAACCTCCCCCCGCCGTACCGCCAGAGCCAGCTGGAGCCGCTCGGTGAAGCCCGGCTGGCAGGGACAGCCCAGCGCAGGAGGGGGGGTTGATTTGCTTGGTGTTTTAGCCAGACCCTCTGTGTTGAAGAAGCAAACACCACGTTGGCTGCATCCACAAGCCCTTCCCAGGCTGGGAACACGGGTCAGATACCCCGTAAAGCGGGTTTGCTGGCGTTTCTAAGGCGCCACCGAAACAGACTCTGACAACCTCGAGACGAGCACGAGCAGCACACTGCCACTCCCTCTGGGCATCTCTTCCTTCCTCCACCCTCTGGATGTTAAATGGGACCTGCGGGCGCATCCGAATCGAGATCCTTGTGCTCTGGGCCCTCTGCAGCCTGTGAGAGCCCTGGCAAGGTGCCTGCGGGTCTGTGGGGACGGCGAGGGTCTCTTGGCAGCCTCCCTGCATCCAGGGGCATTCCAAAAAAGACCCAGAGCACGTTCTGGACAGTCACCCCCTTACCCAGCCTATATCTACCCAGTCTGGCTACATGGAGGCTGTAGGAGACCATGCTGAAAGCTTTGCTGAAGTAAAGGTTCTCCCCTCATCCACATGCCCAGTCGGCTCATCACGTAAGGCGCTCAGGCTGGTCAGGTGTGATGTGCCCATTGTAAATCCCCGCTGGCTGTTCCCTTCTTGTCCCTCAGGTGCTTGGCAGTGATTGCTGGGGGGATTTGCTCCATCACCTTCCGAGCGACAGAGGTGACATTGGGCAGGCTGTAGCTCACCAAGCCATCCGTCTTGCCCTCCTGGAAGCTGGGTGTGATGTTTGCCTTCTGCCACTCACCAGGAAGCTCCCACTTACTACAAACTTCCAAAGAGATCAGAGAGCAGCCTTGCCCGGGCATCGCCCGTCTTCCTCAGCACCCCCGAGTGCATCCCACCTGCTCCTACGGGCTGCGGATGGGTGCCCTGAGCCACCCTTCCTCCAGGATGGGTAATACCTCACTGCTGCGCTCTGCTGCTGGGACCAGGGACCTGGGAGGCTTGAGGAATAACCTCAGCAATAACAACTGAGTCAAAGAAGGCTTTGAGTACCTCGGCTGCCCTGGGTCTGTGGTCACTAGGACCAGGGACCTGGGAGGCGTGAGGGGCTCCAGGAAGCCCCTGCTGTGCTGTCGGTGCCCGTGGGCACTGCCTTCTGAGCCAGCATCTCCTGGAGTTGCGTGGGGTAGGGGGGATCCAGGATGCCATGAGTCACCCTCTCTGCTAGAAGGAATTTGCTTCCGTTTTGCCCCTGGAAACCTGCTGCACTTAATACAATCAAGCTTTGAAATGTGCTGCACTTAATAAATTGAATCTAAATAAATTCTGGTTTCCTTCCTCATTCCAGCTCAGCTCAGCCCAGCCCCACTATGACCCGACAGGTATGTTTGGGGCTTTCCAGAGGTGTGAGATTGCAGATATTGAAACTCGCCGCATCCATCCAGCGCTGCCCAGCGCCTGCATTTCCCATAGGCTGGGAGGCCTCACGAGTGCCCTGCGTGGGAGGGCTCTGGTGCTTTCCACAAGCTGCCTGCAGCCTCAACGGCTCCTTCCATTTTCATTTTCATTTTTCTCGGTGCTGGGAACAGCGCGGCTCCACCTGTGGCGCCAGAAGCCTGTACAGTGCAGAGGCTCCGGG